GAGAGAGAGAGAGAGAGAGAGAGAGAGAGAGAGAGAGAGAGAGAGAGAGAGAGAGAGAGAGAGAGAGAGAGAGAGAGAGAGAGAGAGACCCCTAAACCCCCCCACCACCCCACCCCCCCAAACTTAACTTTTTTATTGCAGATTCGGGGTCCTCCAGCGCAGCAAAACCCCGGCTTCAAAAAAAAAAAAAAAAAAAATCCCTGCTGGGTTTTGGGGCCGCCTGGATCTCCCGGGCGGACCCCCCCTGGCCCGGGAGATCTGTCCCTGGCATGTATTTGACAAAGTGATTTTGTCAAATACATGCGTTATCTGTCCCTGGCCAAGGGTCTTAACGTTACCGCCGCATAGACATCTCCACATCAATAAACCGCTTCTCGATTCCTGGTACTGTGCTATAGAAATATTCACTGAGAGAGGATAAGATAGGACAAAATACGACATAATAGGATAGGATAGGATAAGATAGGGCAGAATAGAATAGAATAGGATACGATAGGGCAGAATAGGATAGGATAGGATAGGATAGGGTAGGATAGGATAGGATAGGATAGGATAGGGCAGGGTAGGATAGGGTAGGATAGGATAGGATAGGGTAGGATAGGATAGGATAGGGTAGGGTAGGATAGGATAGGATAGGATAGGGAAGAATATAATAGAATAGGATAGGATAGGATAGGATAGGATAGGATATAGACAGGACATGGATATAATATGGATAAGAGAGGGCAGACTAGCATGACGATCCGGTAAGGTAGAAACAGGACAGCGTGGGGACAATTTCTGTTTAGCGACTTATTGGACTTGGGGCCATGGCTAACCATTCATTGTTGTACCTGCTTCTACTGCTTGGAATGACACTCCACCACTTTCCGGACTAGTATGGCACATATTACGCTGGTCTAGTATAGCACATATTAGGCTGGTCTATAGCACAGATTAGGCTATCTTCCCCTTCATCTTTTCTCCCCACTCTACCGGTAGTGTTGGGAATGTTCATCTGGTCTCGTCCTGGTATAGACAATCAAACAGATAACTTTCCCAACAGTACCGGTAGAGATTCAGCATAAGTAGTGGAAGTGACCCGAACAGCTCTGGGAGCCCTCAACTAGTGTGGAGGCTTTTGATCTGAATCAACTGCGTGATGGGTGATCGTATTGCAGGCATAGTATGGCGATGGGGTAGGGAGCGCATCTAGCGTAGTCATATGAAAGGCAGGACCAGGGCTTCTTGCATTTCGGCAAATGCTGCGTCCTATCTTTGTTGTTTTATTCTGCATGTCGCTTGATACTGTCTTTGATTGAATTCATATCCCTCTATTCTTGCCCATGTCTTGGTGTACACATGGCTGTGGATACAACATTTTCCATTTTTCCCGTCATTTGGAGATTCTTCTTTCTGAAGTGTCTCGAAGGGACTGTTGGACGAATTGGCACCCACATACGTGCAACCTGTTTTCAGACCCACCACTCTCTCCCTTTCTCCATTTTCAAGCCCGTAGGACCTGCTGCCTGTGTCTCTGTCTTTCTGCCTGCCTGTCTGTCTCTCTGTCTGTTGGTTGGTCACTCCGTCTTTCTCGTGGTATGGCTGGCTGGCTGGCTGACCGTCTGTCTATCCATTTATATGTCTGTCTCGCTGCGTCCTGCCCACCACGGTTGGTCATTAGGTCTGTGTGTTCGTCAGTTGGCGTGTCCATCTGTCGGTTGGTCCTTCAGTCCGTTTGTCTGTCTGTCAGTCGCTCCTTCGGTCGGTTAGCCCGTTGGGGCATCCGTTCTTCCGTTGATCGCATCCGTTGTGGCCCATCTGTCTGTCTGTCTGTCTGTCTGTCTGTCTGTCTGTCTGTCTGTCTGTCTGTCTGTCTGTCTGTCTGTCTGTCTGTCTGTCTGTCTGTCCACCTGTCCACCTGTCTGTCTGTCTGTCTGTCTGTCCACCTGTCTGTCTGTCTGTCCATGCCCTGTTCGAAGCCGTGGATTAGTTTTCTGGCGACTTACGGAGGTGATATGTCTTTGTGGGTGGTTGTCTTTTGCAGTGACGTGCCCCAAGTGCACGTATGGACAAGCTTTCTTCATGCAAATTCAGATCCGATCAGCCGATGAGCCGATGTCGACATTTTACAAGTGCTGTAACATGCAGTGTCAATTCAGATGGAGAGAAGGATGACGGATGAAGTTTGCTGTTTTTCTCCCTACGCTTGTGCTTTTCTCTGTACATACGCCGGACTCTGCAGAAGATTAATGTTTGAGGGCGTCAAAATTGCCGTTTGTTTGAGAGAGTTACGCAGTGTTGTCAGCTTTCTCAGGTGAATCAGATAGAAATAACTTCATACAAACATATGTGATATATATCTGAATGGATAAATGTCACTGGTGCTGCATCTGTCTGCAGAATATTGAATGTTTGGGGAGTCTGAATTGCTTTTTTTTTTTGTTGGTTTATTTTTAGTTTGGACCATTTCTCGTTTTTTGTGTGTCATCCTTGCACAGGGGCCATGCTAATCTTCTCTGTATCGCTCCAATTTTTACGGATTCCCAATGGACGAATTGCTGTTTGTTTGAGAGAGTTGTCCAGTCTTGTCAGAGTTCTCAGGTGAATCTGCTCGCAAATACCCACACTCGAGTATCTGCAAGATATTTTTCACTGGCTGTGCATACGTCCGCAGAAGATTGAATGTTTTGGGCTAGTGGAAGTATCGTTTGTTTGTCTGAGAGAGATGTGCAGTGTTGTTAGCTTTCGCAGGCGAATCTGGTCGAAATGACTCGTACTCGTTATCTGATAGGCTAACTTTAGTATCCAGGAAGGTCTTTTGAAACATGTTGGGTTGAATTCGGGTAAAGAGTCACAAACTCCCGCCGTCACCCGAATGCAACACCCGGTCGTTATCGCTGCATCTGGACTGAAAGTTGTGCCAAATGCAGCTATAACGACCAGGCGTTCTATTCGGGTGAAGATGGTAGGTGTCAGAACAGAATTCCCTGAACGAGTCATGTACATACATATACTGACAAATATGATCTCTCTGGGTAATTTTCCCACCATCTTCCCCCGCATAGGACACCCGTTTCCCACCATCTTCCCCCGCATAGGACACCTGGTCATGATAGCTGTAGTTGGGTAATTTTCGGTCCAGATACACCGATACTGACCAGGCGTTCTGTTTGGGTCAAGACAGTGTAAAGGCAGGATGCTGGACTGGTTGGTGGAGGGCTGACGGAGTGGCGGTTTGAACCACCGCTACTCCAGTGTGGGCGTGATCTTGGCTGCTGCCTCCAACTCAGGGCCGGGCAAAATTGTGCATCGCTTTAAAAAAGCGCAGATAGACTGGTGGTTGGTTTCAAAATTCTACTACTGACAAAATCCATAGACAGCTCAGGGTGGTCAGCGAAGAAAATCCAAAATGCTGACATGCCCCTTAACTTCATACCCCCTCCCCCCCCCCCCCCCCCCCCCCCCCCCCCCCGCTCTATGTTCTTGTTGAGCCGTGGGGACACAAATACACACTGTGATTAACATTTTGTCTTCCATGGTATGTGTGTGGATGGCAAAGGGTCAAATATGTCTTCTTCCGCTAATTGGGGAGAGTTGTGGGTTGTGGTAGGGCTACGTTGTTGTGCTATCGTATTGTTCATGTTTGGGTGTGTGATGGATATTGTGTCGTGTGTAAGTACAGTGAGTGCACTGTCAGAATATGGTGAAGTAGCTTCAGTTTATCTGGGTTTAGGTGCGTGCAGCGTCGATCACATGTGGAGGGAGCCCTCCAAGTTGTGTCACTAAGGAGTACCACAAATTAGGGGAGAGTGTGTTGAATGCTCTCCAGTCCTACCACTTGCGCCAGCTTGCATCCTGCCTACCGTCTTCACCCGAATCGAACGCCCAGTCATTTAAGCTGTATTTGGTGCAACTTTCAGTCCAGGTACGGCAATGATTACCGGGCGTTCTATTTGGGTGAAGACGGTATACCTCTACGACATGATCATGATAGAGCTGAAGGGGGCAAACCTTCAAATGTCCTAACGGGTTGCCATCAGCCTTGGGAGGGCGTATCTCCACCGAGCTTCCGATGCATGTATCGCAACTTGTTGCAGACGTGTAGCATACGCATTTTGCGGCGTCTTCGCAAACTTCTTTACACTCGTTGGTCGGGATGCTGATCTCTCAAGCTTCGGACACAAACAATCGACCACCGTAGGGTGTGATACCCTAGGTCCTTCTACCAACATTTTTTCTTTTGTGCCGCATGAGTGAACACTCCCTTATTCCGGTTCTCTCATTCAAAGGCAAAATGTGCACTACAGTCAAGAAGGATGAAAGCACTGTAATCCAAGTGAGAAAAGAGTTGGCACAAGACTCACCAACCACATAAAAGCAACCCATCTCAATATCGCATTTCACGTTGTATCTCTGTTTTCTACTTGTGTCCCTCGTCTCGTACCAGCCATCGAAAAAGGGTGGACAACTTGGGTTTCTGCCAGCCGACAGTCCTTTGTTGGCATTCTGTAGAACCTCCTGCAAGCAAATGTTTTGAAGTTCCATCAGGCATTCCAGGGACACCGCCCGGGGCCCTGCAGGCTTATCAGAGGTGCTGCGGACTTATCAGAAGTGCTGCAGACTTGTCAGACGTGTGTTGGAGGCTTGTCAGAAGTGCTGCAGGCTTATCGGAAGTGCTGCAGACTTGTCAGAAGTGCTGAGGACTTTTCTTTTCTCGTTGGCCATTTCTTGATTCATGCGGTGTCATCCTTGTGCAGGGGCCATGCTGATCTTCGTTCTCCGCACCGCTCTAATTTTACAGATTTTCTGAAGGACAGAAGTGCGTCAGACTTGTCAGGAGCACAGCAGACTTATCAGAAGTGTGTTGCAGACCTGTCAGAAGTACAGAAGACTTATACGAAGAAGCATTAGGGGTTTCTGAAATCAACAGATTCAGTTGGAACTCAGCCGGAACTCAGTCAAGCCTCATAAAACTCAGGGGCGAGACTTCATCGACCCAAAAAAAAAAAGAATCGGCAGTTATAAACAGCGCTCATTGGACTCTGTCAGAACTTCGTAATCACCCCTGACACACAGTGGGCCTTCCTGAGCTATAGCGAAAATTTCGTGAGTTGCTGCAGGTATGTCTAATACGTAGTAGACTCTCCCGGATCACAGCAAGTATACATGAGGTCCAGCAAGGATATGTTGGATCCAGCAAGCATTTCCAAGTCCCAGCACGCATATCTGAGATCCAGCAAGCATTTCTGAGTGCCAGCAGACAACTCCCAGTTTCAGCCGATGTTTTCTGAGTTCTAACGGACTCAGTTCAGTCGCAGACGACACAGTTTAAACTCAACAAATGCAGCTTACTCTCAGCAGATTCAGTCCATTCACAGCAGTTATAGTTTAGTCTCAGCAAACTCAGTTCTCTCCCAGCAGACTCAGTTCATCAACTGCAGATTCAGTTTACTCTCAGTAGACTCAGACTCAGTTCAATCACAGCAGGCTTAGTTCATTCACTCTCAACAGACTCAGTTCATTCACAGCAGATTGAGTTTAGTCTTGGCAGACCCACTCAACTTTCCAGTAGGTCCAATCAGATCTCAGTGGGTTAAATCAAGGCTTGACAGGCAAGGCTTCAACTCGATGGAATCTACAAACTTCAGGATACCTGAAGAGAAGGTTCTAGCTTTCATGCTCGAGGTATGGGGGCGAGGAAAAGAGAATAGAGGGGGATGCCAGTGAAAAATGAGATCCGTGAAAATCACTCAATAGGATTTTAACCAAGATCTGAAAATGATTCCTTTTGTCTTACATGAAGGGCGTGGGATTCAGATGCCAAGATTTAACTTATCTTCGCCCGATGTAGCATCGCGTTCGTGTTCGGTGATCGAACCCGAACGTTTGCGACTGAAAGCGAATGATGGCTGAAACCCTTCGAACGCGAACATAATATATATATATATATATATATATATATATATATATATATATATATATATATATATATATATATATGCGTAGCACGGCGAACGTGTTCGCGGCCCTTTCTGTTCGGGCGAACACGTTCTCCCGTTCGCGCAAACGGGTCGAGAACACGTTCGCGAGAACGTATTTTCGAGGCCCGCAAACGGGGTTCCCCTGGGCCGGTACCGGTTGCCGGCGGGGCTTTGGAGGCCTCAATACCCCCTTATACCACCCCAACAGCCCCGAACCACCGCCAACACCCTCACTAAACCGTCCATAACCCCCCTATATCACCCCTACACTCCGGTGGATCGCATGCACGCGAGTTCCACACGTGCGGCGCCTAGTGCACGCGCAACCATGCGCGCGCACCCCAATAAATAGAGTAAAAAAAACATTGGAGAGGGCTGGCTGAGGTAGCCAATAGTACGCCTCCCTTCTAAAATATCAAAGGGCACAAAAAAAAATAAATTGAGCACACGTATTCCTTCTTGAATTGTCCTTTTCCCGAAGGACCCCCGCAGTGCATCTGCAAAGGTCCCAACGTCTAAAGAGACGTTCAGCAAATTTGGTGAGAGAATGGAGCAGGCCAGCAATATGTATTCTGGATCCGAAGTCAGGTATGCTTTCCAGCGGTTATGGGTTACACGCTACAACCACTTACTACTGTAGCTCTCTCTTTCTTTTGTTTCCTTTTCCTACGAGCAGTGGCCCTAAGGGCCTTGCTCCACTCGTCACTACTTGCACAAAAGACAAATTGTATGGCGGCGTATGGTTCCATGTTCCAGCAGAAGATTCATTCCTCTCTTTCTTTTGTTTCGTTTTTTTTTTCTTGTTTTCTTTTTTTTTCTTTTGTTTCGTTTTNAAAAAAAAAAAAAAAAAAAAAATCCAAAAAATCTGAAAACAATATATGTTGTATAGAAGAATGAACTTAACAACATTTGGAGGATGATACAAGACCGCACTCAAAGCACGCCAATGCACACAAAGCAGGCAGTAAACAGCGATCAGGACAAAGCCAAGACAAGCTGTATACTCATCATCAAACATCAACTTCCTTAAAATTGACCCACGTTAACCAGTGAAGTTAACTGTGGTCGAGTGAAAACACAGAAGATGATAGAAAATGATGAAAATGAAAATGAAGACGGACTTGCCACCAACAAATCTCCGACTACCGCAATCATCACTACGGTCAGCCCCGACCCTCCCCCGACTACCGCAGTCGTGTGACTACGGATAGTCCATCTCATAGTCCTGTCAGCGCCATTCCGGCGAGAGAGGAAAAACTACTAAAAAAAACACCTATTTAACCCGACCGTCAACCGAATCAACACTGTCGTACTACTTGCAGTGGACAGCCTAGGATCAAAAACCAGCATACTCGGAGTCTGCCCCATACTGCGCCAAGGCGCAGGTACCGAGTCCAAAAAGCGGGGTGTTCGGATAGTCTGAAAAACAGTCGGACAAATCATCCTGGTGCCCGGTTCTCAACCAGGTCCTCCTTCATTGCATACTGTACGACGTTCTACCCAGAGTGTCCGACCACATACACTACTATGCTATAATACCAGACGAATCACAGAGGGCAAGCCCTGGTCCACATATACACACCACCAAACTACACTACGAGCCTATCTCCTGATCGAACTTACACTAAACTATCTAACAAACTACGTCCAATCTCTCTCCGTGAGAAGTAGAGCAATCGTCTTCCAAACTCCATTCTTGTCCCTGCTGAAATTCCTCAGGGCCCGCCATCTTGCCCAGAGGCTCCTCTCCGTCAAACCAATATAAACTTGCTTATGCGACGACGATAGTAGGACATATACACAACTCTTTGGTTCCGTTAAGTCAAAGGTCCCCCTATCCAATTCATCCTTCAAATATCCCACAAACTTTTCACCCCATCTCGCCCTACCCGTCAGTATCAGTCCAATCGTGGCTGCTCTAAATTCCCTCTCATCAGATCTGCACTTACCCTGATTCGCCTGTCTTCGATTACTCAACTCATTCGCTCTATCCAGGAAGTCGTCGCGACGACAAGCACCTCACTCTGAGTCATCATCCGAGAATGATTGGTCCGACTCTGAACTCACGGGTCTGGCTTCCTCCTTAATAGCCACGCCCTTATTCGTCCTTGTCGTAGTGCGTGGCGTCACAGGTAGTGGAATGTTCGAGGGATCATATGCCACCACCGAACGACGAGTGATCAGTCGCTTAATTGCCAACTCCCACTTACCATATGCCACCTTCTCGTGGCGGCACGCTTCCTTTAGTTCTTCAATGGTTAGCGCGTCGTAGAAGTCTTGATATTCTTTCTCGAATTTCTCTCGCCCTCCTGGTCCGCAGGATGCCATGATGTGTTTCAATGACAAGTATATCTTCGATGGTGTGCTTGATGTTGCGACCTCCTTCGCTTGTTCTCCCTTAATCGATTCAATCCTCGCCTTAGCCTCCTCCGATAACTCCGTGTTCGATCTTTTCTCCGGGGTAGTCATCGGTGGACTATCCCCCACTGCTATGTCCGGACCCCGCTTCCTTTTTTCCAGACGATCCAGTTTCGCTGCTTGCCTTCGAAGCGCCAGCAGCTCCTCGTCCTCAGTTTCCTCCATTCCCAATGTTTTCAATGCAATCATTCTTCGAAGGCGTTCTTTCTCCTCGTTGTTTGCATCAGCACGACCCGTTGTCTTACTTGATCTCCCTCCTCTGAGTTCATACCGCTCAATTTCTTCCTCACGCTCCTTTCTCATCTCACCACGAATGATCCGCATCAGGCGGGCATCTCGTTCCTCTTCCCGTTGAAGCCTCTGTTCTTCTCTTAGCGCTCTCTTTAACTCCTTGGCTCGTTCTGCTTCCTCTTCTAGCCTGCTTCTCTCGATCTCTCTTTCACGTTCAACTCTTTCCCTCCTTTCTTTGGCCACCTGTAAGAAGTAATTCCGTATGAGCGAATCGGTATTCTCCATACTACGCTCGTTCCCACTCTCCGCCGACCGGCTCCGACGCGAATTCATATACTCGCCGCTCGTATTGGTTCTACCAGTTCTTGTCTGCGTTGTCGGTAATCCCGATGGAACGAAAGTCCTCCCCTGCGCTCGTGCTCTCCAATATTCGGCACAGTCACGGATGAAGTGTCCGCTCTCCCCACACTTGTAACATTTTCGTCCATCCGGTGGTAACGAACCACCCCCTTCATTCCCCCGCCTAGATTTTCCCTCCTCGCTCATTTTAACCGTTCTTCCCACTCTCCCTTCAGTTCGCGAATCCAACTACACACTTTCAATCTCTCGAAGCTCTCTCTCGTCGTCTTCACATAAGCCGCCACCTCCGCTAGGTACAATCTCCTAGTTGGTTACGACCTTAGGTAGTAGGATGATACAAGACCGCACGCAAAGCACGCCAACGCACGCAAAGCAGGCAGTAAACAGCGATCAGGACAAAGCCAAGACAAGCTGTATACTCATCATCAAACATCAACTTCCTTAAAATTGACCCACGTTAATCGGTGAAGTTAACTGTGGTCGAGTGAAAACACAGCAGATGATAGAAAATGATGAAAATGAAAATGAAGACGGACTTGCCACCAACAAATCTCCGACTACCGCAGTCATCACTACGGTCAGTCCAGACCCTCCCCGGACTACCACAGTCGTGTACGGACAGTCCATCCCATAGTCCTGTCCGCGTCATTCCGGCGAAAGAGGAAAAACCACTATAAAAAACACCTATTTAACTCGACCGTCAACCGAATAAACAACATTTGCCTCAACGTTACATCCAAATTCTTTACCAAATTTGAAATAAAAATTAAATACTAACAATAAATAATAATAATAATGGAAATTAAAAAAAAAAAAACGAGAATCAGGGTTGCCGGCGTTCGGGACAGGCCGAGCGCCCGAACGTACGGGACCCCTTCGGAAGACGTTCGGCCATTTGAGCCGAACGCGGATCAAAAAAAAAAAAAAAAAAAAAAAAATCAAAAAATTTTGAAAAAAAATATGTTATGGAGAACAATAAACTAAACTAGGCTACCAGAGTGGCCCGGGGTCACTTGCCTGGCCGGGCCAAAAAGATTTAAAAAATAAAAAGAATAAAAAATATTTTTAATTTTTATTTTATATTTTAGATTTGGTAAAGAATTTTGATGTGACCCTGAGGCAAAGGTTGTTCAATTTATTTTTCTGCATAACAAAGTTGTTTTTTGGATTTTTTGTTTTTTTTGTTGGGACCCTCCCTTGTCCTTGCACGGGCTGGCCACCCGGGACCCGGGCGGCCCGACTGGTAGCCTAGAAACTAAACAAAATTTGTCTGGCACTGCATCCAAATTCTTTACCAAATTTGAATTAAAAATCAAATACAAAAAATAAACACTATGATAAAAATAAAAAAAAATAAAAAGAGAATTAAAATGAGTGAGTGTGTCAGCACCTTTTCGACAAAATAAAAAGAGAATTAAAATGAGTGAGTGTGCCAGCACCTTTTCGACACCGCCATCTTTGTCGATTTTTAATTATTTTTTGGCATTGGCAAATGCCCTGAAAATTTATAGATATGTAGTTTAGATAATCAATAACTAATTGAAATCTTTTTAAAAAATAATAATTTTTTTTTGGCCCCGAAATAAAGTGAAAACAAACAGTTAAAAGTGACAAAAAAACAAAATAGTGAGTGGGCGAGCACGTTTTGATACCCCCATATTTGACGATTTTAATGTTTTTTTGGCTTAGCATAATGGCTTCAAAATTTACAAGCGTGTAGGTTACATCATAGATAACTCACAAAAAACAATTCAGAAAAGAAATTTTATTTTTAGGCTCCGAAACTATTTTTGGCGGGGGCCGAACCTACAGGTGTTCGGCCCCCGAACGCCGGAACGTTCAGGGGCGGGGGGCCCCCGAACGCCGGAACGTTCAGGGGCGGGGGGGCCCCGAACGTTCGGTCAGGTAACCCTGACGCGAAAAAAAATATTGAGTGGGCAAGCACGTTTTGGACACCGCCATCTTTGGTGATTTTTTATTTTGTTCTGGCTGTGACAAATGCCATGAAAATTTATACATGTGAAGGGTAACCGGCGTTCAGGATGGGCCGAACGCCCGAACCCGAACGCCCGAACGTATGGTACCCCTTGGGGATGCGTTCGGCCGTTCGGGCCGAACGCGGACCAAAAAAAAAAAAAAAAAAAAAAAACATGTCATCAAAAAAATCTGAAAAAAAGATATGTTATGGCGAGAAATAAATGAAACAAGATTTGCCTGAGCATTACATCCGAATTCCTTACCAATTTTGAAATTAAAAAAAAATACGGAAAGTAAATACTCATAATAAAAATAAATAAAAATAAAAAGAGAATTAAATTTAGTGAGTGTGCGAGCATGTTTTCGACACCGCCATCTTTGGGGATTTTTTTTTTTTTTTTTGGCATAGCTAAATGCCCTGAAAATTTACAGATGTGTACTTCACATAATACAAAACCCATTAAAAAAGTTTCAAAAAATAATAAAATTGTTTAGACCCCGAACTAAAGCGAAAACAAAAAGTAAAAAGGGAAACAATATGTGGGCGAGCACGTTTTGACACCGCCATCTTTGGCGATTTTTAATTCTTATTTGGCTCCGCCAAATGACTTGAAAATTTACAGGCATGTACATCACGTCATAGAGAACTCACAAAAAAACATTCAGAAAAAAATATTTATTTTTAGGCCCCGAAATAATTTTTGGCGGGGGCCGAACGCCGTCGGGTTCGGACCCTGTAAGGGACCCCGAACGCCCGTACGTACGGAGGTCTGCCCGGGGACCTCCGTACGTACGGGCTGGTGACCCTGTATATATATATATATATATATCATAGCTACGCCGGACCGGACACCGGACCGAATCCGGACCCCGGACCCCGGACCTCCCGGGCCCTTCCGGAGTTCCGGGAAACCGGAATATCCGGACCGACCCGGACCCCCTGTCCGGATTCCGGTCCGGATCACTTATAGTGTCCGGAAAAAAAAAAAAAAAAAAAAAAAAAAAAGCGGTTGTACTCCTACTCCTGCCCCTCCTCGTCGTAGCTATGGTGTAAGGGGTGTGTGTGTGTTGCAGGGCCTAGCCACGCCATGCGCAAATTAGTTATGTGGCACATATGCACTTCCTTTTTTTTTTTTTTTTTTTTGAAGGGGTGTGTATGTATATGGGGGGTGGAGAGAGAGATGAGAGAGCAACCTCAGCACCGGGTCCCCTTACCACGGATCAGACGGCCCATGCAGGCCATCTGAAGGGTCCTCGCAACCATCTAGTGCAAAAACCCCTCGAAATCAAGGCAGGCAGCACATATGCAGTGGAGCACGAGCTGGCCAAATATATAGTCAAGATTCGAGTTCGGGTCTGCGTTTCAGCAGTTATGGGTTGGTCGCGTAGCTAAGCCCTGTTGATCTCTGGCATTCTCTGCACGTGACTCTTAGGGCTTGGCTGCACTACTCACGAAATGTGCAAAATTAGAATGAATCTTCTGCAGAATGTGGAATAATACATGTTTTGTCTTTTGTGCATTTGGTGAGTAGAGGCCCTTAGGGCCACTGCACGTATTCCTAAGAAAAGAAAAACGAGAAAAGAAAAGAAAAACGAGAAAAGAAAAGGAAAACGACAGAAGAAAAGAGAAACGAGAAAACAGAGAAATAGTGACCCATAACCGAGATGCACAAACCTGAATTCGAATCCAGACTATATATTGTCTGCCCACGGTCAGAGAGTTTAAGTTCGAATTGAACCTCTGGATGGCGTGGGATCCTGGGCCTCCTGGCTAGTATGATGTAGGGATCCTACTGAAAAGAGGCTGGACCCAACTAGGACAGTTTTGGGGTATGGAGCGGCCTCGACTTTTCTCCCTCTTCCTTCTGATTTTCAGAAACGAGGGGAATGTTTGGCCACCCCACACTGTCCTTTCAACTTTTTTTCTTTTTTTTTTTTAGTGCACCGCCGCAAGTATGAGAAAAAAAAAAAAGGAACAAAGAAAACCAAACCCCCTCGTTTTCTAGGCCGTCTGGATCGTCGGTGAGGGTGGTAAAAAATAAGGCACTATTTTTTTTGGGCGGCCCAGGGCGTGAACAATCGCCCCCGACCACCGAAAAAAAAAATTGGCCATTGGGCTAGGGCCCTCACATCCAGACCAAGATCCGGACCCGGACCCCGGACCCCAGACCCCGGACGGTCCGGATCCCTATCCGGTGGTCCGGATCGTAGTTATGATATATATATATATATATATATATATATATATATATATATATATATATATATATATATATATATAGTAGCAATGAGGGACCGTCAACTTGAACTACACAATGCTCGAGCAGGTGAGTGGTTTAATCTTCCATCCCACATCTCTGCCTGCGTTGTGCACGGCCCTGGCCATTATATGGCCATTGTACATGCCTCCTACCACTGGGAGCTGTGGGACAACGGCACCATGGTCCATGCCATGATTGATGTCACTGATTTCTTACAAAATGATGTTGTTTTCTTGCCACAACAAACCGTCCACGATCTCTTTTATGTCGAAGATCATTCCTCTGGCCCCGTGCTGCAGCAAGACAATGCACCAACACTCTGCGGCCTTCTCCTTCAAGTTTGCACAACCACAAACACTGTTACACTCGGCTGTAGCCGCCATCGTCTCCATCACAATCACTACAATGACATGGTTTTTGCATCCATGTGTGCAGAGGACTGTCCCACCGTTCCTGACTGTAGGCACCCTCCGCATCCGGACACTATATGTCCATTTTGCGGTCATGGGCGCTATACTGAATGCATGCTCTTTTGTGGTGACCGTTCTTCTTTCATTTTGGCCTGCAATCGACATGCCATTTGTCGGGGGTGTATGGCGGGCATGCTCAATGCCACCCGCCGTGGCAATTGTTGCACTGAAAATGCTCATCTAGGTCTTCCATGTGTTCATCCACGTCATCCTTACAATGTATGTCCTCTCTGTTGTCAAGGACAGAC